TCTTATTGCTCGGGACAATTAGTACAACAGTCAGGAAGTCATGTTGCAGCTTTATAAAACTTCTGGTAGGCTGCACTTGGAATATTGCAATCAATTCTGGTCACCACTTTACAGGAAGGATGTGGAGGCTTTGGAAAGGTTGCAGAAGAGGTTTACCAGGATGCTGCCTGGATTAGAAGGTATGAGCTGTACGGAGAGGCTGGACAATCTCGGGTTGTTTTCTACAGAGCAGCAGAGACTGAGGGGAGATCTGATAGAACTTCATAAAATTATGAGAGATACAGATAGTGTTTTTCCCAGAGTTGAAATGTCTAATACCAGAAGGCAAGCATTTAAGATAAGAGGGGATAAGTTCAAAGGAGATGCGAGTGACAAGTTTTTTACATAGAGGTTACTAGGTGCCAAGAATGTGCTGCCAGGGATAGTGGTGAAGGCGGATATGACCAGCGTATTTAAGGAACTTTTAGATAAGGACATGAATGAGCAAGGAATGGAGGGATATGGACCATGGGCAAGCAGAAGGGATCAGTTTAATTTGGCATCATGTTTGGCACACCATTGTGGGCTGAAAGGCCTGGTCCTGTGTTGCACTTTTCTATGTTCTACTGGTCCTTCACAATCTGCTAACAGTTAATTGAATGATTCTTCAAAGGTGTCAATTTGATTCAATGTTTTCTATCTGCCTGACATATATGACATTTTACAATACTGCCCTACATCATAATGAATCTTGACCAGGTAAAATGTCTGCCTATCAATGCTTAAGTTTTTGTAATTCTATATGTCCTGCCATACAAATTTCATGTGCTACTAGCAATATCTCCTTACAATATATGGGCAACACTTCATTCCCCATCACAGGTCTGTGATGGTGTCTTCTCTTCCTCATTGGAATGCTATTTTTAATACAATAACACTCCGGAAAGCCTTCAGCTTCAGCTTCTGTATGGGCTGAATGTGCTAGGTTACTTAATTGCTTTCTGAACCTGAAATAATGAAGACATGGCAGAAGCTTCTTTTGAAATATCCCTGTCTTCACCTCTTACTCTGCTCGTGGCATTGCTTTGACATCTGATCATTAGCTTTGATTCATGATTGACCTGGTCACTACACATCATAAAAAAACCTGGAACTTATTCTCTTAACTGTTCTGTCTCTTCAGTCTCATTTGGAATTTTTGTTATTATGGATGGAGCTATAACTTTTATTTCTTGCCAAAACATTACCTTGGAGTAAATCAACTCCATCCTTGTGAAATTTCTTAACTTCTGCCACTGCTCTTGACAACAAAAGAATATATATCAGATGGGAACATGCTCCTAGTTGCAATGAAAGGTCAGTGAGCTGATGGTGCATGAGTGGCTGAGTATTGTAGATCCTTTTCTGTTTTAAGTGTAAAATCTGGCAGATTATGAGAGACAGTACCACAGTAATGTAAGTAGTGCTATTTGGTAACCATAATAAAACATCATTTAGGATTTGTCTTTTTGTTGACATTGACTGAGGCATCTGAAAGGGACTTCCTGTGTATTTATCCAATGCAATGGCCACTTACAATGTAACTCCAATGAAGTATTGAGTATACAGTAGTACTTATCCTGGCAGAGTGCAGCAGATCACTCATCCACATGCAACACCGGAACTAGATTCTTTCGAATCACCTCTGGGCACAAAACTCCATAACTGCCTGTGTCCAGGCCACCACCTTCAGTTGGGATGCCTCTCATTGCCATACATAGGAAAAGCTTGCCTTCTCTCCTTAACAGCTTTCAGGAGGACATTTAGAAAGACATCACAGAAGCCTGGTATCATTCTTTATCTGGTGTCTGACATTTCTAGGGTTGACTGGAGGTGTTGAGCAGAGTAGTAGGGTCTTAGTAGTGCAGACATTTTTTATGCATTGTTAAGTCTGGCCGAAATAGTCAATAAAGCTATAAAGAAAACATACAGGTTCTAGGGCTTTAAAAATGGGAGTAAAGAGTGCAAAAACAACAAGGTCTTCACCATGGACGTCCAGTCCCTATGTACTTGCATTCCCCATGCAGATGGCCTAAAAGCCCTCCGCTTCTTCCTGTCCCGCAGGCCCGACTAGTCCCCCTCCACCGACACCCTTATCCGCCTAACCGAACTCGTCCTTACCCTTAACAACTTCTCCTTCAACTCCTCCCACTTCCTACAGACGAAAGGGGCGGCCATGGTTACCCGCATGGGCCCAAGCTATGCCTGCCTCTTTGTAGGATACGTGGAACAGTCCCTCTTCCGCAGCTACACTGGCCCCATCCCCCACCTCTTCCTCCATTACATCGATGAATGTATCAGCGCCGCCTCGTGCTCCCACGAGGAGCTTGAACAGTCATCCATTTTACTAACACCTTCCACCCCAACCTTAAGTTCTCCTGGACCATCTCTGATACCTCTCTCTCCTTCCTGGACCTCTCTGTCTCCATCTCTGGTAACCACCTGGAAACTGATATCTATTTCAAGCTCATTGACTCCCACAACTACCTAGAATACACCTCCTCTCACCCAGCTTTCTGCAAGAATGCTATCCCCTATCCCCAATTCCTTCGCCTCCACCGCATCTGCTCCCAAGATGAGGCATTCGCTCCCAGACATCCCAGATGTCTTCGTTTTTCAAGGACCACAATTTCCCCCCAACAGTGGTCGAAAACGCCCTCAACCATATCTCTTGCGTTTCCTGCACCTCAGCCCTCACACCCACTCCCTGGAATAACAACAAAGACAGAATCCCCCTTGTCCTCACGTATCACCCAATCAACCTCCGGATTCAACACATCATTCTCCGCCACTTCTGCCACCTGCAATCTGACCCCACTACCAAGGATATATTTCCCTCCCCACCCTTATCTGCCTTCTGGAGGGACCGCTGTCTCCGTGACTCCCTCATCCGTTCCACAATCCCCACTAGCCCCACCAGCCCTGGCACCTTTCCCTGCAACCACAGGAGGTACTACACCTGCTCCTGCACCTTCCCCCTCACCCCCATCCCAGATCCCAAAAAAACCTTCCACGTTAAACAGATGTTCACCTGCATATCCGCTAATGTGGTATATTGTATCCTCTGTTCCCGATGTTGCCTCCTCTACATCGGGGAAACCAAGCGGAGGCTTGGAGACCGCTTTGTGGAGTACCTACGCTCCGTTCGCGACAAACAACAACACCTCCCAGTCGGGAACCACTTTAATGCCCCCTCCCACTCCTTGGATGACATGTCCATCCTGGGCCTCCTCCAGTGTCACAACGATGCCACCCGAAAACTGGAAGAACAGCACCTCATATTCCACCTGGGAACCCTACAACCCAATGGTCTCAATGTGGACTTTACAAGCTTTGAAATCTCCCCACCCCTGACCTCATCCCAAGACCAGCACCCCCTCTCGTCCCCGCCTGCTTGACCTGTCCATCTTTTCTCCCACCTATCCGCGCCTCCCACCTCACTGACCAACCCCCAACCCAACTCCCTACCTACACATCCCCGTCTCCTTGACCTGTCCGTCTTCTCTCCACCTATCTGCTCCACTATCTACCTTCTATCACCGCCTCCCTCCCTGTTTATTTCAGAGTCCCCTTCCCCTCCCCCATTTCTGAAGAAGGGTCCAGACCCGAAACGTCAGCTTTCCTGCTCCTCTGATGCTGCTTGGCCTGCTGTGTTCATCCAGCTCTACACCTTGTTATCTCAGACTCCAGCATCGGCAGCTCCTACTATCTCCGAAAGTCATAATGAAGCTTTTTAAGTCATTGGTTAGGTGGCAGTTGGATTACGGGTTCCAGTTTTGGGATCGGACTTCAAGAGGCCAATTAGGATGACATAAGGGATGAGAGGCATAAATTTTGCAGATAGACTAGAACTGAGAATGGTGAGAGAAAACCTGATAATGATGTTTAAATTATGAAAGAATTTGGAAAGAAAAAGAAGGCAATATGGTTTTGGATGTTTACTAAGACAGTAATTAGAATCTATCAACGCATATTTGCCATGAAAAGAGGCAGATGTATTTTTGCACAGAATTGTTCAGTTTTTCATCAAAAGAAAAACCACAAAACCAGAATTCATAATGACTTTTCAATGAGAATTGCAAGGATACTTGAAAAATGAAAGTGAGAAAAGTATGGAGAATAAAGTGAATTGAACTTTTAGAAATCCAGCATTGGATATAGTGAGCTGATTGGTCTTCTCTGTCGTAAAATATGATGATTCTGTGCTGATGGATTTCTCTACAGGGAAAAGATTCATCTGACTTCACAAAGTATATCCTTAATTTCTTTGCTGTGTTCATTTCATTTTCCTCTGAACATCTTTCCCATACTTTATCTTCCATCAGTATTTCTCTGTTCTACTTTTTCAGCATTTAATTCTGTCTTAGTACAGGAAAGAAACTGAGTTGCTTTACTATTGTGTAGGTACGTGCTTGGAGGCCAGCTGGCTCAGATGGTTAGTTTGTAATGCAGAGTGATGCCAGCAGCATGGGTTTAATTCCCACACTGGCTGAGGTTATCATGAAGGGCACTCCTTTTAAATCTCGCTCCTTGCCTGAGGTTTAGTTACCCTCAGGTTAAACTACTACCAGTCCTTTCTCTCTGATGATACATCAGCCATGTGGTCTGGTAGGACTATAGTGGCTTTGTCTTTACATGCTTGTATTAACTTCCACTGTACACTACTTTAAGACATTTATATTAAAACATTTGTAACAATCCCCTTTAATAATAGCTCTTCCATAGTCTTGGTATTAAAGTGTGCTTAGTTTTAGATTCATCATGCCTGAACTTGATATTTTTTCTGTTGATGCAAATGTTGACTCAGACACACAAAACAAACAAAAAGAATTTTGGTGAGAGAATGAATTGAGCCTGGATGCTGTGACACTGATCATATAAATTCTGAATGGAATTGTTTAAAACTGTGAACAGTTGACTGTACTGAGTAATTGTATGGCAATTTCAGTCACAAAATGCTCATATTTTCAAGCGTATCAATATCAGGTCTTTGCTCACAAAAGTTTATTGGTTAAGATTACAGTAATCAAATATACACTGATACTTAAAATAAGCAGTTCTGGAAAAGAGCTAAAGCAGATTTATGGAATTCTTGTTTGATTAGAATATGTGCTCGCCCCAACTGAATCAGCCTAAGTGGCAGTCATGAAACTTTCTTCACAAATTTACATATTGCTGTCGATTATTTTTCCAGACTTCCAGCATGTTCCCATGTGCTTTGGTGTATAATTTTTTTGCATTAAAATTTTGCAAAAGTAGATTAAGCTGTGAAAAAAGTCAAGTTTCCCTTGCACATGGTGTGATGCAGTGTTTATATGGTAACATGAAAGATCAGAATTTATGAACATCCTGGATTATATCAACTTTTAACATCCTGAAATAAAGACAACACCTCTGGCAAAGAACTTGATTTAATCTATTCAGTGATCATCAACCTAAGGAATGAGAACAATGATAAATATTGTGATGCCCAGAAGGAACAATATCTCGGCACTTAGCATCTATGAATGGCTCCTACAGGTAGAAAATATCAACAGCTGTTGATAGTAAATGCATTTGGATCCAGGAGCATAATGAATAATGGGGCAACTGGGAGGGAGAGGAGTGGTAAATATTTAAGCCTCCCAGTTAAAATAATTACTGAGGCATATAGTGGAGTTAAGAGTAGACTGGATACTGAACACTACTGGAATTTTGTAATAGTGGAAATAATTTGTTTTTTTTACCCGAGAATAGCGATGTAATGTTAATGGCCACTGAATAAACAAGTGATAAACAAACTGATATTTTTCCTGAAGCCACAGTTAACACAGTGCTTGAACCATCATGGTGACTTTATTAATGCGAATTCCAGACCAGTATGGGGACTTGTTATTAAGATATGCATAACCACAGGCATCAAACCACCATCCACCACGACTCGAGGCACAACAGCTTCTGTAATTATCATTATCTCTATCCTTTGTAGTAAAAGCCTGGTTAACAATCATTTGATTGGTTGTAAGTCTGGTCATTTGGTCATAAACATTCCCAGAAAATTGACCAAGTCTGATGGTGTACTTCCCACTCTCACCTTCTAAATAAAAAGAGGAATACTCTGCATATTTAATTGCATTGCGATGATCTCTGAACTGTATTCTCAGTTTGTAATGAGTCTGCCTGGTTAGAAGATAGATGTACTCATTACCCAACCAGTGATCACTCAGCACATCACCGAAGCCATATTTATATGTGGTCCAGTTCTCCTTCCACGTGATCTTGCTATTTCTGGTGTTACTTTGAATTACTGTCCATCCACCATTGCGTCTCATGACACAGTTGACCACAAGCAGAGGGGATCGGACAGGTTGAATGACGTAAAGCCCAGAAGTAGCATTCCTGTTCTTTCGTAGAATTTCTGTGCAGTCATGTGGCACTAAAGACAAGCACAATCATGACATCAATTTTATTCCATACACTATAATTTCTAAATAGTACAGAACTAGGTTTCTGGTTACTCTCAAATAATAGCATCATCTCAAATGAATATAATAAACTGAATAAGTCCAACTTTTTTTAATTCAAAGATGAAAAAGGCTAAAGGCCTTTAATCTCATTGAAGCAATCCATCTAATATATTTATCTTCACTACTTTGCCTGAGAAAAAGTTCTAAGTATTTGTTTGTCTTTCTGTGAAGAAATTCATTCTAATAACTTTGAAAACTATTTCACATTCATTTAAATTTATGCACTTTGATCCTCAGTACTGATATATTGAAATAATAATCCATGCTTAGCTGCCATATAACAATTAAATCTTTATACATCAACAAGTTTGCACTTTTACTATTTGGTCTTTAGATTGCAGATGCGTAACCTTTCTTCTTTGGAAGTGGACCTGTTACTGCTCTGCTTCTAGGTCAGCAGATGTATATGCTTTTGTAGTTTGGGAATTCAAACTACAGTAGAACTAATGTAAACGACATGGTTTTTATCACAAAGTTTAGAAATACAAGTGACTGATCTTAACATTAATTTTAGTCGTAATATTTCTTACCTGCTGAAATTATTTCCATGAAAGCTAAAAGGAAGAAGCCAATCTGAAAGGAGGTTTTTTGCTGCATTTTCATAATTCCCCTGGGAAGAAATGATCATACTTCAGAATTTGGTCACAGTTTCCTACTTATTAAAAAGCTCAAAGAAGAAGTGACTTAAAATCCACATATCACAGCAAATAAAAGTATCAATACATATTTTCCATTTGTGGCTGTTAATTTTCTGGCTTAATAAAACTAATTCCACTTTTTTCCTATTTAATGGTAATCACAGCATCTCTGACAAAGTCTTCTCTTCCAGTCACTGCATTGTTGCCTCTGCAATTTGAAGTCTTGTTAATATGAAGAAACAGATTATAGATGCAGGAAGGTATCAGAAGTCCATAGTTCTAATGGCCTATACTCACATTACTCCAACAGAATGGCCAAAAAATTTAAGATAACAAGGTGTAAAGCTGGATGAACACAGCAGGCCAAGCAGCATCAGAGGAGCAGGAAAGCTGACGTTTCGGGCCGAGACCCTTCTTCAGAAATGGGGGAGGGGAAGGGGATTCTGAAATAAATAGGGAGAGAGGGGGAGGCGGACAGAAGATGGATAGAGGAGAAGAGATAGTAGGAACTGCAGATGCTGGAAAATCTGAGATAACAAGGTGTAGAGCTGGATGAACACAGCAGGCCAAGCAGCATCATAGGAGCAGGAAGGCTGATAGGTGGAGAGGAGACAGACAGGTCAAAGAGGCAGGGATGGAGCCAGTAAAAGTGAGTGTAGGTGGGGAGTTAGGGAGGGGAGAGGTCAGTCCAGGGAGGATGGACAGATCAAGGGGGCAGGATGAGGCTAATAGGTAGGAGATGGGGGTGGGTCTTGAGGTGGGAGGAGAGGATAGGTGGGAGGAAGGACTTACCACACTTTATGACCTTGTCCCAGAATTTGATTGACACAATGAAAGCAGAACATTAGCTGACAGGAAAAATGACATTGATGCAAGAAGAGATGTGACTTCAGATCAGAAGTTCCACATCCCTGGCTCCTTAGAGAACAGGATGAGCAACATGATAAATCCAGACAACTGGGGCATTGAAGGCTAGATTAGAGCTGCCTGTCTTGATGGAATAGTTTTGGGATGCTGCATAGTAATTTTCCTGAGAACACCAAGCAAACCTCTCCTACTTTGCTTTTTAGTTTTCAGTCGGATCTCTAACCACAATGAGTCACTGTGGTATTGGCTACCACCATTTGAGTGCAAATTAGGGTTCCTCCCTCGGATATCCAAGCTTATCAGAGGAAATTTTCTGCTGTCATAGTTCTGACATTACTACAATATGACTCCAATAATACACACAATGAAAACAGAAGTTGCTGGAAAAGCTCAGCAGGTCTGGCAGCATCTGTAAAAAAAGGTCAGAGTTAACGTTTTGGGTCCAGTGACCCTTCCTCAGAACTGATGGTAGCTGGGAAAATGTTAGTTTACGTGCAGAAAAAAGGGATGGGGATGGGGTAGCAAGTAAATGATAGGATAGAGCCCGAAGAGAGAAAAGAGCAGTTAGATAGACAAAGGAGTTGATAACAAGCTGGCTAAGAGGGTGAATAGTTGTTAATGGGGACAGTTAGTGACTAACAATGGGTAGCGTATAATGGCAGGCTATGTGATAACAAGGCCTGGTGTGTGGGGAAGGGGGCTAGGACATGGCAGAGTTTAGGCCCTAACATTATTGAATTTGACATTGAACCTGGAGGGCTGCAGGGTCCCCAGGCAAAAAATGAGGTGTTGTTCTTCCAACTTCCATTGAGCTTCGCTGGAACACTACAGCAAGCCAGAGACAGAGATGTTGGCCAGGGAACAGGGTGTTGTGTTAAAGTGGCAGGCAACAGGTAGCTCAGGGTCTTTTTTGCAAGCAGAACGTAGATGTTCTGTAAAGCAGTCACCCAGCCTACGCTTCGTTTCCCCAATGTAGAGGAGACCACATTGTGAGTGGCGAATGCAGTAGACTAGATTCTGCGAAGTGCAGGTGAAGTGTTGCCAGTTACAGGGGAAGGTGCCATGGGGCTGTGGGAGTGTATTGGGGGTGAAGAAAGAGTGGACCAGCGTGCCTCGGAGGGAACAGTCCCTGCAGAAGCGGGGCAAGGGAGGGGAGGGGAATATATGTCTGGTGGTGACATCCCACTGGAGGTGGCGGAAATGGCGTCTGATGATCTTCTGGATGTGGATGCTGGAGGGATGGTAGGGAAGGACAAGGGGAACCTTATCATTGTTGCAGGAAGGAAGAGAAGGGGTGAGAGCGAAAGTGCAGGAGATGAGTTGGACCTCGTTGAGGGCCCTGTCGACAACGGTGCTGGGGAATCCTCAGTTGAGTAAAAAGGTGGACATTTCAGAGGCTCCCTTGTCGAATTTGGCCTCATCTGAATATATGCGACGAAGAGAGAGGAACTGAGAGAATGGGATGGAGTCTTTACAAGAAGCAGGGTGTGAGGATGTATAGCCCAGTTAGCTGTGGGTTTATAGTGGATATCAGTGGCCAGTCTATCCCCATAAATGGAAACGGAGATGTCAAGGAAGAGAAGGGAAGAGTCAGAGATAGATCAGGTGAAAGTGAGGGCAGGGTTGAAATTGGAAGCGAAATTAATGAACCTTTCCAATTCCCCACAAGAGAGGGTAGCAGCACTGATGATATCATTGATATATCGGAGAAAGAGTTGTGGTTGGGACCTGGAATAGGACTGGAACAAGGAATGTACCCCACAAAGAGACAGACATAACTGGGGCCCATGCGGGTACCCATGGCCAACCCTCTTACCTGAAGAAAATGAGAGGAGTTAAAAGTGAAGTTGTTGAAGGTGAGGGCGAGCTCAGCCAAGTGGAGGAGGGTGGTGGAGTGTAGGGACGGTTCAGGTCTTTGCTCCAGGAAGAAGCGGAGAGCCCTAAGACCCTCATGGTGGGGAATGAGTGTGTAAAGGGATTGCACGTCCATGATAAAGAGGAGGCGGCTGAAACCAGCAAACTGCAAGTTTTGAAACCGGCGTAAAGCGTCAAAGGAATCGCGGATGTACATGGGCAGGGATTGGACCAGGGAAGAGGAGACTGAGTCAAGGTAGGAAGAGATGAGTTCTGTGGGGCAGGAGCAGGCTGAAAAAAATGAGTCTGCTCAGACAGTCCTGTTTGTGGATTTTTGGAAGGAGGTGGAAGTGAGCTGTTGGTTATCAGCTTGAAAGCAGTGGGAGTTGGCGGGAGGTCACCAGAAGAAATGAGATCAGTTACCATAGTAGATACAATAGCCTGATGTGTTATCGTGGGGTCATGGTCCAGGGGAAGATAGGAGGAGGTATCTGAGAGCTGGCTCTCTGCCTCTGCAATGCAGATGTCAGTACGCCAGACTACAACAGCACCACCCTCATAATGTGCTCAAAATACTTTCACCCCTGCACCTTCACACTCAACTTTCTCCTGGTGTCTAAAACTTTTAGAGGTGCAAGCATCAAAAGCAGGCAAGATTTGTGACTGCATTTCACCCCACCGACTGAGCGATGTTGATGCCAGGAGCTTAATGTACGACAATTATTTATCAGATGTTTGTTCGATAAATAAGTTGTCCATCTGTAAACTATTTAATATTTTCTTGTACAGTGATGACAATTAATAGTGCTGAATTAACATCTCTTGTTTTCACAAAAAACATTCTCCTAGACTATAACCGAGCTTCTTTGAATTCTGGGACAGTAGGAACTGCAGATGCTGGAGAATACGAGACAACAAGGTGCAGGGCTGGATGAACACAGCAGGCCAAGCAGCATCATAGGAGCAGAAAGGCTGATGTTTCGGGCCTAGACCCTTCATCAGTAAAGGGGGAGGGGAAGGGGGTTCTGAAATAAATAGGGAGAGAGTGGGAGGCGGATAGAAGATGGATAGAGGAGAGGACAGGTGGAGAGGAAACAAACAGGTCGAAGAGGCGGGGATGGAGCCAGTAAAGGTGAGTGTAGGTGGGGAGATAGGGAGGGGATAGGTCAGTCCAGGGAAGACGGACAGGTCAAGGGGGCAGGATGAGGTTAGTCGGTAGGAGATGGGGGTGCGGCTTGAGGTGGGAGGAGGGGATAGGTGGGAGGAAGAACAGGTTAGGGAGGCGGGGACAAGCTGGACTGGTTTTGGGATGCGGTAGGGGGAGGGGAGATTTTGAAGCTTGTGAAATCCACATTGATACCATTGGGCTGCAGGGTTCCCAAGCGGAATATGAGTTGCTGTTCCTGCAACCTTCGGGTGGCATCGTTGTGGCACTGCAGGAGGCCCAGGATGGACATGTCGTCTGAGGAATGGGAGGGGGAGTTGAAATGGTTCGCGACTGGGAGGTGCAGTTGTTTATTGCGAACCGAGCGTAGGTGTTCTGCAAAGCGGTCCCCGAGCCTCCGCTTGGTTTC